GTGTGGTAGGCCTACGGCCTTATCTGCATTAGATGATAAATCGTTGTGTCCATAATCAGTTCGACGCTCTGTATTCCTGAATTTTTCGTAATTGTTATTCTACTCCATTTCTCGTTATGATTCAGCGTCTAGGCACGTTACGTTTTACACATCGATACTAGACCAAAATCATGTTCATTCATCAATATGTCTTGTACATCCATTTTTGGAGATCATAATACAGCACAGCCAAATTCTTGTAGAATATCCTATTTACACAACAAATCTTTTGAAAGTTGAGCAATGCAGGCAATACCTGCATTATTTCCCAATTTGTAAGTAGATTTTTCTTGCTGTGACGTATACATTCAAACTGAATTCTAATGGCATTCTTTGAGTTGATTTGCCATTCGTTAATGCAACTTACAGCAGAAGAGTAGAAATGGGAAGGAGGAAAGATGAAATGGGGGGGAGGGGGGAGGGTCGCACGGATGGGTACCTTCAAAGGTGGAGGGGGTCATAAAAGAGGGTCCCGGATAGATGAATGCGCTTGATACAAAACAACTATGTATACTCAGATATCGAAAAACCTTTTTCTGGCCTTCATGCAGGCCCTTCGACGATTGCGGAACGCCTGCACTGTATCAGACAGTAGCTAACGTCGAAAATGTCTCACATCTTTTGAAGCGCGCGTTCCAGACTGCCCACAACGTAGTGCGGAAGAGAGCAAGAGTTGCCTTTAAAGATTAATCACAAAGAAGGTCAACAGTTTGGCTCGGCAATTCAAATCGTGCCACTAGCAATTAAATTGAGAACATAAAAACAGCATTTATGGTGTGCCAAGCCCAGTGACCTTAAAATAATATTTTGGTAACAAGTGCAAGGCTTGCAGCTAGAACTAGCCACTTAAAATGACTTTTTTTCTTTGTTTTCAGTCATAATCTTCAAATTAACTAAACAATTTTTTGAACAGTATAGACTGAGCAAAAAAGACCATCCAAAGTGAAATAATACGAATGCAACGACCATGGATGCAACAAATAAGACAAACGGAGAACAAAAAACAGAAAACCATGATGGCAAGAACATCTCATTTTACCTATGAGATCATTAGACTCAACGTTGGAAATTTCAGATTGCACGATTTGCTTCCGAGAACGCCCTCTTCTCAGGCACTGCTTTTAGAATGTTTATATCAATCCTAAAGTGACGAACAAAAGAAGTTGACCAATTTTGAGCTGAGAATGTAGACTAAGGCTAGTTCTACAATTTGCAAGTTAACGTTCCGAATGTTCCGTAAGAGCTAAAGGATTTTCAGACAGTGGATACCCGTCTATTAGCTTGACCTTAAAATCGTGGTGCTGCTTGCTTCAAGAACAATTTCTTGAGAATGTAAGACGCAAACGGTATGATTTTTCCTTGAAACATTATCAGCAACTTAGAGGCAGCGTCCCACCAAATTGGAGGGTACCTGGCTCTGGTATTAATGTAAAAGTAGACCCCTTAACTAAGCGACGACAGAAGTTTGCGGCGCGAAAGGGGGTCTACGAAGTCTACAAATCGCCCCTCAAGTAGCTCGAATCTTACACTAGGCCCGAACGCCGCCCATAGAACAATTTCGACTGCAAGGCCAGAGCACGCATAGCGCACACAGTCATGAGTGCAGGGTCCCGCAGCGACTCCGCGTCTCTACCTTACATGCATCTCGTGCTCGCCCGAGCTTACCGTAAAATTCGGGCCACTTGTGGGGTTATTTGTAGACTTCGTAGACCCCCTTTCGCGCTGCAAACTTCTGTCGTCGCTTAGTTAGGGGGTCTACTATTACACTAACACCAAAGCCAAGTACCCCCAAATGTGGTGGGACGCTGCCTTTAACGAAGAACTCATACGCAAACCCCGACCAGAAAGTGTTTAATAGTATCAAAGTTACTACGTTGGAAAACTGGGCTCAAAGACTTTTGGGACATCCTGTGTATACGGAGGCTGTCCCAAAAAATTTGCACATTGTTTGATCGGCAATAATTCTTCTTTCAAGTCTGTTGCCGATCTTTGAGTACTATTCGTAGGCTTGCTTTGTCTTAAGTTTATAGTATAAAACGGATCTTACGTTATCAGCACTCGACATGCAGTGATATTCCGAAGTAGGTGTTCAAAAAAATCCTCAGAAAAGCTTAAAAATTATGTAGCAGTGTTTTCAAATATGCTGAATATAATGCAACACCTCTCACGAGTTTTCTGAGCTTTTAATGATCTGACCACCTTTTTAAAGGAAATTGTTAAAGCAGTTTTCACGATTCTTGGGATACAATTTCGCTGATTTTTTTCGACTTAGATTCACAGAGTGGAGCGAATCTCCAACCGCTCACGTTACTGTAGGATTACGGTATAGATTTCGATGAGGATTATAGGTCATCGAGAGCCACATTTTGCCTTAAAGGCAGTGTCCGGGCAAAAACTCGATTTTGAGTTTTTTTGCTTACCCGGACCTATTCGCTACGCTGAATCCGAAAATGCACATTGGAGAGCGCGAAAACGGCGAAAAACGGCTCTAATACGGGCGAGAAGTCAGCAGATGGGCGGGGTCCTCCCCACTGTGAATTCACGCTCCCTGCTTTCAAAGCGATCTTCTCGGTTCCGATTCCAAGTCATGCATTCGCACCGGGCCGGTGGAGATCTCAGGGCGCTAAAGGAATTGGGAAGATCGCTTGGTAAGCCGGGACCGTGAATTCACAGTGGGGAAGACTCCGTCTACTTTCGATTTCCCTCCTGCGTTAGAGCCCTTCTTTGCCATTTTTGCGCTCAATGTGGATTTTCGGATTCAGCATAGTGAATAAGCGCGGGTAAGCACAAAATCTCAAAATCGACTTTTTGCCCGGACACTGCCTTTAAGAAGAAAAACGCACGAGCTTGGAACTCTACCAAGCTTATCACAGCCGCTGATCTCGAAAATGAAGTTCGCACTTTACTGCGATGCTTCTTTCTTAAGCCATTTCAGGTAAACAACAGCGGTTTATCAAATATTTGTTGGTATGCTTCTCTTTTGGAGTTTTTTTTACAAGTGAACATTTGTAGCAGGGCGAGAATCATCTGCAGTGGTCTGGCGGTAGCGAGGCGAGAAATGTAGATGCACTAGAACCCATGACATGTTGTGGCCAAGGCTCTGCACGAGGCGGGCAATGTCAGGTTGGAATAAAAACACGGTCTTGTTTGCGCCTTATCTTGAAAAATCGATATTTTCGTTGAGTTGTGAAAGTGTCTCGGGTTACATCGCCTACATAACGATATGGTTAAGAAATTGGATTATAAATAAACATCGACAGGGACGAGCGTAGTGCAGTGTATTGCGGGAAAATTATGTGACTGGGGATTGTGGCAAGATTTTTTCTGAAATTCCCATCACCATAAAATGACGAAATGACTCGTTTGCAACATGAGTTGACGATGTGGCACAAAATTGATGTGCGTCGTGCAGTTGAACTGAGGGATAAACTGTGAAAAATTGGAAAACTCATGTGAAAAGAGAGCGTGCATTTTCCATAATTAGGTGGATAATTGCCCACCTGTGCCCACCTGAGGTAGACAGAACTTCTATTTCACATAAGTTTTGAAAATTTTAACTCAAAATTATTTTACACGTAACGCTTATACATAGTAACGATTTGGTTTTAAAACTCTTCCTCTCCTCCTTGTTAGATTCCGGATTAGCAACGACACTTTTGAGAAAGAAAGCGCGCTAATCGAACCGCAAGATAGCTGGAGGGATCAAGTGGAGAATCGGTAAAAATAGATAGCGGCAAAGACGGAGTCGTTTTACCGACGCTTTGCCACCCTCGTGCTGGGCCCTTTCTGCTGTTGCTGCTAAGGAAGAGGAATCAGCCGATTTTTGCATAATGCGCCCTTTAGATTTGAAGGATGTGGTAATTTATGATGAGTGGCGAAGTTATCGATCAGAATACAAAGTCCGTCAAAAAGGTGAAAACCGGATATAAGAAGCACAAAAACAGATCAACATCTAAGCACGGATAAGCACTTCAACAAAGAGTTCAATAGATCAGAAAAAAGGTGGAAGAGCGAAAGACGAAGATTTGGATGATGTTGAAAAAAAAACTGGAGAGCTGATATATCGACCGCTCACTTTGGCGCAGGAATGAGCATGCTCAGTTTTGTATGATACTTGATTTCATAAAAACATTTGCCTAAAAAAACATTTTGGGTTTCAAAGAAGTGTAAAAAGCAGCAGTGTTGCAATCGTATACCACTACAGAAGAAGCAATCTCGAAAACCCCCAAAACAAATTTTGATCTAGGTCAGGCAGTATCGCTGCTGAGCCCCCTCAAAACTCCAATCGAGTTTTCATTGGATTTAAGCAAAGTAAGGGCGGGGCTTGCTATGTCGTGGTATCGGAGCTCGTGATTATGGCGAGTCCGAATCGCCTGACGATGCACTACCTAGATAAGAGGATATGGCTCGGATAGGAACTTTCAGCACCCGCATGCACGAGACCGCGCGACAGCTCCTCCAACCGAACATTTTGGATGGGAGAGAAATGAAAAACTTATAAGCTTAGGCTTAAAGCAATGTAAAGCTACATCGCCTTAGCATTGATTAAGTAACATTGGCAGCTCAAGTTCTAGTTGAGTTGAGGGTTCGTCCACGCTACGTTTTCATGCTAGCCGAATAAGTGTAACAAAATTGGTACCCAAAATTAATTACAAAATTGGTACCTATCTAAGTAGACAAAGTTTGCACCGGGAAGACCTAGATGCCTAGCTTGATTTCTAGTGTGCTTTTAGTATCAAATCTAGATTAAACAACATCATCAAACAGTCGAATACTTGTGCTCGTAACTCCTATAAGCTCCCGCACAAGACGTGCTCTCCACCGCTCATGATCCGATAGACCACTGCGGACAAAAGCATTGTTACAGCTTACTTCATAGAGTCCAACATTTATAGGATTCAACGTTTCATTTACGATATTTGCCCATATAAAGGCCGGACACTGTGTGAGCATCATCTAAAATGTTGTTCTACATCTTCTTCGTGAGTACTTCTTAGTATCGGTCAAACTTGGATATGATATCTATAAGTGGGATTTCAGCTTTTGTCAGTCTGCTCTATCCTTTCTGATGGTGACTTTGGTGATAGCGGTCGAGATCAGTTTGGTGAGCATAAAGATCCCATCCCGCATAAAGTGCTACTCCAAGAATTCAGGAGGCATTGTTACAGAACAGACAAAGTGCTTGATTTGGTTAGTCAACCTTTACAGCCTGAATCTTCTCTTGCGCATGTGATAGCGTAAATAAACCGAACTGAAATCGTCTGCAAAGCAGCTGTGTGGATAAAGTTTTCAGTGTTTTTAAATCAAAAATTTTCCGCATTTGCATCTTTCGAATACAAATGTCCTCTTTTAAAACACTCTTAATCACTGCATCGAAAGAAAATTTTTTCAGACAGAAGGTGGACAGAATGAAGTCGAAAAAGTTCGCAATTACTTCGTACAAACTCGAATCTTCAAAAACAAGGCGCCGTGGGAAGGACCTCAAACCCGCATATTCAAAATTGACAGGTCAGAGTAGATAGCGTGTTTATGTATCTCATTAATCAACTTTAGATGGGCGCCTAACAAAGCAGCAGAGGCAATGTATCGGCGAATTTATCTCGACACGAATAGAACCGCTTGCCAGGTAGGTAAAGTTGAGCATAGCGTAAATCAAACTAATGTGACTGTGAAGACAGCTGAAGAATATCAGTTTGAAGTAATTTTTTTTGCCCTTAAACATCGATAAGTAATGCCCATCGTGACTTCATATAAGCCGAATCGATTCGAAACTGTGTAGAGCAGCAGCGGCAACTTTTCTGCTCAATTAATAAAGCATTTCAGGTCTTCTGGAACAACAGCGTGTATAGATGCATCCACTTCAAACAATATTTGTGGTCTGGCTGGATCAACGACATCTACTGCGGCTTCTTTTATCCATGACTATGCTTTTTATTAGGTTGTAAAGAAAGTTCACGGGCACTTTTGGAAATTTCATTTTCAAACTCATTTTTTCGGCGCTCGGTCGGACTTTGACACACTTCTTTATACTGTTCAGTAGAGGGAAGCCTAAAGTTTTCAACAGGCCTCCTGACTTTCATCAATGCCAAGACGTGTTTGATCTGCATGTCAAGAAGAGAATCTTTCCAAGCACAAAAATTTTGCAATTTTTCTTCTTGCGGCATTTTTTGTGCAGTTCGAAGAAATTCGTCCAAATCATGGGTGATTCAATTGAGAAGCCTGTTAACATCTGACCCGCAGCTGCACTCGAGTTTTGCGATTTGCGCTCAGAAATTACAAGCTGTCGAACTTGCCTTTGACCGCAACTCTTTTCGCAGCTGGCGTCGCCTCTGCGGGGATCTTGGATGATGGGTCGAAAAGATGTGCAAGGCTTTACCCCAACAATGTTCCCAGTAGTCAAAAGTTTGGTCCTTTGTGTGCAGAACTAGAAGACTTAAAAGTCACTTACTCGAAAAATGGTGCATTTTTAGAGGCAAAGAATGGTCGATTTTTCAAACTTTCTGGGGAAAATTTTTCTGCAGGTGGTCCTTCAAAAACATGAATGGTCCCATAACAGCCCCAGCAAACCTCTATATAACTACAGCATCTGGGCTCTCCAGCTCTCATCATGCCTGAGATAATCCTCACGAATAGACCACTTTTCGCAACGACCCTTTTCCCTTCTGTGCATACTGGTGGACCGCAGTGAGGTGCTGAGAAGCCAGGAGGACAATTATATGTCTCGGACAAAATTGTCTTTGCAATAAAGTTTGTAGATTCAAAAAAGAATCAATCTGCTTGAAGTTGCAGCAATTTAAAGAAATTTTTCTCAAGTGCCCGGGAACTTTCTTTACAACCTAATACATGCTCACCCTGCAAATGGTTTCTCAACTAACCACCAATAAAGCACATTTGGTTTTACGAAGGCAGTGCAACGTCGAAGGTATTTAATAGTAAAAAAATTTGACTAAACGTGACCTCGGCCTGGATCTTACGGTAGGCCGGACGCCGCCCACACCGCTTCGAATTGCAAGGACAGAGCACGCATAGCGCACACAGTCATGAGCTCACGGTCCCGCAACGACTCTGCGTCTCTACCTTTCGTGCATCTCATACTCGGGCGAGCCTTCCGTGAGATTCCGGCCACTTAGGGGGGGGGGGGAGGGGAGATTTTAGACTTCGTAAACCCCGCGCTGCAAACTGCTATCCTCGCTTAGTTAGGGCGTCTACTATTACATTACTACCAGACCAGGTACCCCTAATCTGGTGGGACGCTACCTTTGAGTTGATGCGTAGCTTGCGCTATTTTCGAGAAGAAGTCCTGTTGTTTTCAGGCTTGCTTCGAATCGTTTCTTCTTCCGCGTTTTCTTGTTTTCTTTCGCATTTCTTCTTTTCGCGTCGCTTTCGATTCTCCTTCTTTAAAGTAGATCATAGCATGTGCGAGTTCAAACCAGCACCACTTTGAAGAAACTACTTGCTTCAAGGAAGGACTGCCATGTATAGGGCATTTGAAAAATCGTGACGGTGGCGCGACCGCTCGCAACACGCATGCCACTTCCGGAAATCGCATTTTCTTGGTTTTCATCTCTAGTCGAATGGTTTTTTGCTTACATATGATATTATTTAGACCTTGGAAGCAACTGAGCTGGACGTTGAGGTACTGCCTTGTTGTATAAGCGTTTTGTGGTTCTGTGGGCGCAAAGTCCGCAGTAAAATCCGTCGTCACGATTTTATAAATGAACTATACCTCTGATGGAATTGATGTAGAGAATTCACATTTTGCCTAACCCTTGGCTAATTCTTCTAAGCGGCACCGCATTGCACTTGCACTTTCACATTTGAAAGTATACGCTCCCAAAAATAGACAATCTTTTCGATTCTGTTTACAACTGCTTGATTCTGAACGGACTTCTTTCATTTTCGGTAGCTGCTGTCGCGCTGTGATGAAATATAGTTGTTACTTACACACGTACCTTAAATTGCATATGGTTGCGCAAAGTGCGCTACATGCTCCATTGTGAATTTCACTTACGCGCATGATCTTTGCTGTTGGAGCACGCTCGACATTGTGGACTTTGATTCTACGCTTACGATAGGAAAATATGCTTTTAAAAGTCTTTTCAGATGGTTCACCAAGCATATCGCAAATAAATTTTCGAATAAAGATGTCAGTGTTGTTAAAAGGTTACATATGCAAAGTAGGAGCTAGTATCTTTTCGTCCTCCCCGTTCTCCTTCGAGATGAATTTTCAATAGACAGGAGCTCCCAGTACTTCTAATGTATTGTGCTCACAGCCCGATATCAATACTTATATAATATTTGGATAAGCAATTTTTTATGACCGGCCTGAAACGGCACAAAGAGTCGAAGAATTCGGATGAAACTTTGCACACATGAAAATCGGGGTGGGGCGGGTGTCACTAAGCTTTTTCACCGAAAATCACTGAGTGGCGCTATCGATTTATCGATTTTTTGCGTTTTTCGCTTAGCAAGTTTGTTATGACCGGCCTAAAAGGTTAGAAAACTTCATTGAATTCAAATGAAACTTTGCACACATAAAGATCGGGGTAGGGCGAGTGTCACTAAGCTTTTTCACCAAAAATCACCCATTGGCGCTATCGATTTATCGATTTTTTGCGTTCTTCGCTTAGCAAGTTCGTTATGACCGGCCTAAAAAGTCAGAAAACTTCATTGAATTCAAACGAAACTTTGCACACATGAATATCGGGGTGGGGCGGGTGTCACTAAGCTTTTTCACAGAAAATCACTTAGCGGCGCTATCGATTTATCGATTTTTTCATGTTCTAATCTCTGTTGAGCTGAAAACTGGCAGGAAGGGATAACTGAACATAGTTAATTTGAACAGAATATCTACAACTTTGACCACTAAACTTTTTTACCTTTTTTGATTCTTTATATGCAACATTCTGGAGGTAGTTGGTATCCAACTATGCGTTGACCTTTCGCAACGGATTTCGCCGACTGATTAGCTCATCAACAAAATCAAAATGGTTCATCCACGAGATCAAATATGAACAAATCAAAATACCCTATCCCGGCCTTACGGTTCATTCATACCATGCCTTCATCGGTCGTACCTCCTTCGACTACTGTTACTCCCACACCATGGCACCGACATTGACCCCCTCCAGCAATGGACCGTCCCCCTCCACACCTCAGTCGCAGATGCATATCGCCTAGAGAACCCGAACCCGTACCGCAGCAAGGCGCACTTCTGAAGCCATGCGTAGCCGCCTTCGTCGTAGCCGAGAAACACCAGAGGAACGAGAACGGCGTTTTGCCTCAATGCGTGAACGTCATCTTCGTCGACGGCAACAGGAACCACAGCTAAAAGGAAACCTTCAAAAGACACTGGATCAATCCAGGCATGGTGCGAGCCCAGAACGGGTTGGCCAACGAGGATACGAGCCAATCGACGAGAACACAGCACAAACGATCTCTACGCTTGACTCGCGGCAACAAGTAATGTTTCCGTTACCTACCTCCACTCCCAGTTCGCAAATGCACATTGCGCAGAGAACTTGAGCACGTGGCGCAAGGCGGAGATCTTGAGGAGCGACTTATCAAGAGACATATCAATATCAACATTCTTCATTCAACATTCCCACACTGTCGTTTGCTCAGCCGAAGGTAATCGCTTATATGGGGCTTTAAATTCATAGCAAAAGGCAGCGGTTGACACCATTCTTGGTGCTCTTGATGATCCAGACGCTCCAAAGCTTTTCTTCATCGATGGTCCCGGCGCTTCAGGTAAAACGTGGACCTATACATGCCTTTTTGATATCCTCATCGTTCAAGGGCGCAAAGTCGCGGACAGCGTGGACAGGAATCGCGGCCAACCTGCTCCCATCGGGTCGCACAACGGTGTCGTTGTTCAAGCTAAATATCTTAAACAACTGCGAGACATCATCCCACAGAAAGCAGATGAAGGACGCGAGACTGCTCGCTGAAAACGACGTGTTCATCTGGGACGAAGCCTCTAGAGTCCCAAAAACGGCTTTTGAGACGGTGAATGCAGTACTACGCGATTTCATGCAAGTGGACAATATACTTGGGTAATTCGAGAATTTTTCATCGAATGAATGAATATCGAATAAATTCGAAAAGGAAAAATTTCGAATAAACGAATATCGATTAAATTCGGAAAATCAAAAATATCGAATGAATGAATTTCGAATAAATTCGGAAAATCAAAAATATCGAATGAATGAATTTCGAATAAATTCGGAAAATCGAAAATATCGAATGAATGAATATCGAATATATTCGAACACTGAAAGTCGAATTTCGAATAAATATTCGAATGATTTATCGAATAAGTAAAGCAATCACATCTCAAACTTGCCGACATATCTGGCCAGAGCCGATCCAATCATAATCAGACCCCTAGTATCCCCTATGCCAACGCTTAGCTCAAAATTTTCCAAAAATTGCTAAAATCGATCAAATAGATTTCGGTTTTAATCGGCTCCTTATTTACCCCCTGTACCAACTCCCAAGCTCGTAGCTCAAACTTCCCAAAAAATCGATAAAGTCGGTCGGTCGGCATCTAGTCTATACATCAGCAAAAGGTCATATTTTACCCACTATGGACGATTTAAAAAGCAGTCGATATAAATTTTTATGCTGTCCTCAAAAGATTCTTCTTCAAATGGTCTGAAAGAAACTGATGTACACCAGAGTCAACTTTATTTCTTATCAGCATGTAAAAGCAAAGGACTTGCTCTACTTTCTACATCAATTAAAATCCACATATGGTTTTTTTTACTATTGCAAGCAGTCGGAAGAATGCGACTCTTTATACAGTTCAAAGGTATAACGGTTGCAAAAGATGCATAACCGAGTTTTGCGAAAAAAAAAACGCGGATGAAATGAGCTTGATACTCAGCAGTTGGCTTTGCAACAAAGTCGAATAATCTGAATACGGAGTCATTCGAATACGAATTCGAATAAACATTCGAATAAAACATTCGAATAAAATATATTCGAAACCCCGTTTTTTGATTATTCGAGTTTTCGAATAATATTCGAAACCTCGTTTTTTGATTATTCGAGTTTTCGAACAATATTCGAAACCTCGTTTTTTGATTATTCGAGTTTTCGAATTTTATTCGAAACCCTGTTTTTTGATTATTCGAGTTTCGAATATTATTCGAAAATGGAAGAACTCCGAATATCGAATTTCGAATACGAATATATTCGAATGTTTTATTCGAATGATCGAATTTCTATTCGATTCGGACCCAAGTATAGTGGACAAGCCTTTGGTGGAAAAATGGTCGTTTGCGGAGGCGACTTCCGGCAGATCTTAGGCCTAAGGCATACCTCGCGCGAATCCTGTCGCTGCGCGATTTGGCACAACAACGACTCCATTTAATTCGTCATCAATGTGTTTCCATTGGTCAGAACTTAACCCATTCACAACAACTGACACAAGCTACCCGCCTAGACGTTCGAGAAGCGCGCACGATAAATCAATACTTATATAATACTAGCTGGCTTACCCGGCTCCGCCGTATCCGGACCAAACTTGGCACACATACACTTCGGGCCCCGGCGGGTGTCACAGTCCACTTTTCGTTATCGATCGATGTCGATTTTACCGATTTTTATCGATTTTTTTGCAGAGTTCACCTACAGGGCTAGGAGTTGGCACAGGGGGGGAAGTGAGCATGGGGATTTCGAATACAATATTAGTTTTCAGGATCGTCCATTACTTTTATCGATTTTATCGATTTTTTTTGTGAAGTTTGACCTGCGGGGCTGGGAGTTTGCACAGGGGGGTAATCGAGCATGCTGATTACGAACACAATATTAGTTTTCAGCATCGTCCATTACTTTTATCGATTTTATCGATTTTTTGAAAATTTGAGCTAGGGGGCTGGAATTTGGCAAGGGGTGTAATCGAGCATGCTGATCACCCCCCTTGGGGGTGATCAGCATGCTCGATTACCCCCCTGTGCCAACTCCCAGCCCCCTAGCTCAAACTTTGCAAAAAAATCGATAAAATCGATAATAGTAATCGATAATCCCGAAAACCAATATTGTATTCGGAATCCCCATGCTCGATTACCCCCCTGTGCGAACTCCCAGCCCCGTAGCTCAAACTTTGCAAAAAAATCGATAAAATCGATAAAAGTAATCGATAATCCTGAAAACCAATATTGTATTCGGAATCCCCATGCTCGATTACCCCCCTATGCCAACTCCCAGCCCCGTAGGTGAACTCAGCAAAAAAATCGATAAAAATCGATAAAATCGATATCGATCGATGACGAAAAGTAGCCTATGACACCCGCCGGGGCCCGTAGTGTATGTGTGCCAAGTTTGGTCCGGATCGGTTCAGAAATGGAATTTTCTATTCGGAACATACGTACATACAGACAGACATACAGACAGACAAACAGACATTCAGCTTTATATATAAGATTTGGATAAGCACTTTTTTTATGACCGGCCTGAAATGGTAGAAAGAATCAAGGAATTTGGACGAAACTTTGCATACATGAAATTCTGGGTGGGGCGGGTGTCACTAAGCTTTTTCACCGAAAATCGCCGAGTGGCGTTATCGATTTATCGATTTTTTGCGTTTTTTGCCTAGCAATTTCGTTATGACCGGCCTAAAATGTTAGAAAACTTCATTAAATTCAAACGAAACTTTGCACACATAAACTTCGGGGTGGGGCGGGTGTCACTAAGCTTTTTCACCATATAGGGGTTATCGATTTGTCGAAATTTGGGTTTCAATCTTTGTTGAGTTGAAAACTGGCAGGAAGGGATAGCTAAGCGTGGTCAATTTGAATAAATTATCTACATCTTTAACCACTAAACTTTTTAAACCTTTTTTCTTAATTTATTGTATGCCACATTCTGGAGGCTAGCTGATATTTAACTATGCATTGACCTTTCGCAACGGGTTTCGTCGACTGCATAGCTCATCAACAAAATCAAAATGGTTCATCCGCGAGACCAAATATGATCACCAAATCAAAATGCCCTATCCCGGCCTTACGGTTCATTCATACCATGCCTTCATCGGTCGTACCCGACTTTTACACCCGAAACATGGCGCCGACATTGACCCCCTAGCAATGGACCCTCCACCTCCACACCTCAGTCGCAGGTGCATATCGCAGAATCCGAGCCCGTACTGCAAGGCGCACTTCTGAAGCCAGCGTAGCCGTCTTCGTCGTAGCCGAGAAATACAGAGGCACGAGAACGGCGTCTTGCCTCAATGCGTGAACGTCATCTTCGTCGACGGCAACAGGAACCACAGCTTGACAGACGCCTTCAGGAGACACTGGATCAATCCAGGCATGGTGCGAGCTCAGAACGGGTTGGCCAACGACGACACGAGCCAATCGACGAGAACACAGCACAAACGATCTTTGCGCTTGACTCGCGGCAACAAGTGATGTTTGAACCGGCACCTACCTCCACCCCCATTCCGTAGATGTACATTGCGCAAACAACTCGAGCACGTGGCACAATGCGGAGCTCCGTAACTGCACATAACCGTCTTCACCATGTCCAGGAAGCACCAGAGGCCCAAGAAGAGCTTGCCCCGGTGCACGTAAGTTACCTTCGTTGTCGCCAGCACTACCACTTTTCAAAAAGATATAGATTAGATATATAGATTAGATTTATAGAGTTGATTTACCCCTTTTTTATGTTCGTTCACGATGAATAGAAAAAGGATCATAGGATTTAAGGCAGATTTGGCAGACGTAATGCATGGTGTGCGCCGTTGTTAATAAGCCATTTTGTTCGATACACACGGTTTGTTGCTATCGATTTATGGATTTTTGCACTTTTTGCCTAGAAATTATCTTTGCTTGAAAACGATAGAAGGAGTTATGGAACATAGACCAAATTTGCCAGGTATAACGCATGGGTGGGATGTGTTTTAATGAGCCGTTTGTTCAACTATAATGATCGACCCTTTCAATTTATTGATTTTTCGCAGTTCGCGTAATATCCATTGCTTAGTGTTAATTCGAAATAAACTGACAAAGCCGAATTTGCCCACGGTTTTCTGCGCCGGTTATAAACGAAGTAGTTCGTGCAAAATGGCAAATTTTCTGCATTTCACTTTCAATAAAGAACAAAACGAAAGATTTACCGGAAGCGAAGCTGCCGTGTACCAGCCGAACCTGCCGCGTAGCGGCAGAGAGCGGCTGGTAGACCAGTATTTCATTATTAAATCGTATCACCCTGGACTTGTATCACTTCGCTATGTATCAATGTTATTGGCTGGCGGATAGTTCTGTTATATCTTTTAGTTGTGGCCTACATTCCCATACTTTTAATCGATGTCCGTGCTCAATACATTCAGTTTATCGGTGAAATTACGTCTCATGGCATTTTTGTCAACCGTTTACAATTCTTCCAGTCCAGATTTGCCTGGACGCTGCCTTTAAGTAGTCGTTTTTTACAATGGTAAAAAAGCCTCCACTTGAGCATTCCCATTACAAAAGTCCCACTCACCCTTCACCTAGCACTTTTTCCAATGGACCCCAGGCAAAGTGTATACTTTCTGAAAGCGGCGAACGAGACGGTTCCAATGGTGACTATCTCGGCGTACAAAATGCTCATTCACAAAAGTTATGAATTTTTTATGCTGAAAACTCGAAAATCTCCAAAAATCACTAAGCCACCCTTCACCCGGGCACTTTTTTGAATGGATCTCATGCATGCTATATGTTCTCTAAAAGCGGAGGACGAATCGGCTCCGATGGTGGCTATTTCCTTGTACCAGCTATTTATCTACGAAATTTATGAATTTTTTTATGCTGAAAACTCGTAAGTGTCCAGAAATCACTAGGCACACCTTTCACTAGGTTCTTCTATGAACGGACTCTCAAACTATTTATTCCCTAAAATCAAAGGGAAACGCTGTTCCACGAAACTTTCCTAGCTGACGTTGCTGTGCAAATACAGAAGCTACTGTTTTTTCCTTCTGGAATTTCGTAAATGCCTATAAATCTTCTTCCTCCTTTTCGATACGCAATCTGAGAGGATTCATGAAATCCCCATCTATCCACTCGGACCTGCCGAGCGTCAGAAGGAGAGAAAACTGCATTCAAGGACAGTCCATCAGTTCGCCGGATTTCTTTAAGGCCGCGATAGATTGACAAAGGATGATAGCCTGCCACTCCACGTTCGGACGATCATTGCCTGTCTGGTGGACAGTGGAAAAGGAATGGATGACCTCATGCAGAATAACCGTGAGTTAATAACGGACGTGAGAAAACTATCAGAGGAAGTCATAATGCTTGAGGCTGAAAATCAAAGAGCGAAAGATATTATTAACAGACGTTCGAGCAGCTCCACCAACCCAAAAGGAGACATGGCACCGATTAATGGCAACATATGGGATGAAATGGAAACGAAGAGGTCACTTGTCTTCGCTGGAGTACCAGAAAGCAGAGGAGGATCTAGCAGTTACAGGACAAATCACGATCTTGCATGCGTAGGTCAAGTACTTGGCTTTCTCATTATTGATTGTCGTCCTGTTACGGTTTACAGAATGGGCCGACCTAGTCCCTCTAGAGATAGGTTATTGAAAGTGATTTTACCTTGTTCTTTTTTTGTAAATCTAACCCTCAAGCGTGCTCCTTCTTTGAAGCATTTCCCATTCAAAAAAGGTCTTTATGTACGTCCATCTTTTCCCAAGAAGAAGGAGCTAAGATCAAATTAGATCGTGAACATAAGCATAGCACATGTGAAAACAATATGCTAATATTGGCTTGTCTCATAATTTTTTACCGTTTTTACTGCAACTGCCGTATTTTCGCATCTTTCCTTCATCTGATGTGGCTTAAGTAATCATTCGACAGGGCAAAGCAAGCTCTACAAGATGGCTATCAAAAGTCTGCCCAAATCATATCCCACATGAGGTTTTGAGCTGAAATCTGATAGTACTAAAACGAACTTTTCTGTCAAAAATCGTATCTGCACCCCAAATCATTTAAAAAATTCCCCATCTATCCTAGCATATGCTTGGCATATCGCGTATTCAAATACTTATCGAATTTTTTCCATGGCTAGAAATAAGGAAAAAAATGAGTTAGGTAAAATGGCGAACTCCGGCGCTAGACGTTCTGAGCTCCTCTCAGAACGTCTAGCGCCGCATGTGATCATATTGCCCATATATACAGAAGTACAATCATGTATCTGTATACTTTGCAGGTGCCTCAGTTCTCGAGAAATGCTAATGTTTAGGGTAAAAACGGTAAAAAATTAGAGACAGCTTAATAATTCTCCAAATGTTACCCAAGAAAGTCAAATGGATGTTTTGTCAACTTAGTCTAATCTGTTGTCGAATCGCACCTCTAATTTTAAATTGTCGAATTCTTTAAACCGTTAGTTACTCCTAAAAAAGTAAGTGGTCCTTTATCATGTTTTTTGATGAATATCAGATCTCTACAAAAAATATCGATTCCCTCAAGTTTCTTCTCTTCAATGCCCCGGCTCATGTGGTTGCAATTATCGAAACTTGGCTAAACCCCGATTACAATATCACTGATTCAGCTCTCTTTTGGATTTCTGCTCCAATTATTTTGTCTATAGATGTGACCGCCGACTCAGGAAAGGAGGAGGTGATGCCCAGGATAAAGCGGGGGGTGCGGCACGCCGCAGAGGGGGGGGGGGTCGTAAGGGGGGGGTAGGTAGGGGGGGGTCGTATCGACCGAAGGTCAAAAGCGGTTTCTAAGGGGAAATGACTGCACCTAAGTTCTTAGATGTGCCACGCTCTTTCCCAAATACCTCTGACAACTCAGGTTCAATAATTGAGAGGAATACTAAATGGAGTCTGGAGCGCACTTGTACAAGCTGTGTGACTAAATTGACTTGATGAAAGCGCTGTTGAAATCCTGCAAAATTCAAGTTCAATGACACAAACTTGCAGATACCGTATGCCTACCGTAACCTACCGTACCTCTAATCAAGCATAATTGTCGTAATCCGCGTGTCGAATAACCCCTATGCGCCAAGTTTCAGCGAACTCTGAGGTCTCCGAGCAGTAAACAACCTTGTATAAAGCAGTAATTTAAAATATGATTAACTTCATCTTAACGGTGAGTAAGCTACCTCTTCTTGCACTCAATACAAAGCACTACTCCTTCTTTGTCCACCTCAGGAATCCCGCTTCAGAAGACCTCCAAACTATTGAATTAGAAGCCAACCAAAATCGCTTTTAGCTTTTGATCGCTGTGCTTTCACCAAATATTACTCAGAGCTAAGAAGACGAATCAGGCTCAAAACATCCCTATGGAATCTACGAGGTTTAGGCTATTGATTCATATAAATATTGTCCGCTAAAAATGTTTTTTTGATATAGTTAATGGCCTGCGGCCCCCCCCTCAAAACCTGCGGCTGCCGCAAGTTTTGAGGGGGGGGGGGGGGTGCCGCAGGCCATTAACTTACCTTCAAAACGTTCAAACAGCTGCCTTTTTCATGTCATCCTATAGATCCATCCTTACTCTCTCCGTAGTAGCCGTTTCCCCTCGAACCTTTTTCTTTAGAAGGAGATACATATGGTTTTTGCGAACCATATGCTGGGAAGTGTGGCCAAAAAATATTGGGTTACGGTAGTGCTCGAAAGATTGTCAAAACACAGAGGCGCGAGATACGCGCTTTTGAATCCCACTCTCGTTATAGGCTGTGATGTTCTCGCTTTTTTGTTCTTTTTCATCACTTGTTTCTCTCATTGTTCTCTCAGAAAACTTCAGCCCTATTTGTTATGCAATGTTACAGGTGTTGTTCCATTATTAACCACAAAACAAGTGTATTGGAAAGGAATTTTTGAAGAGTTGGTGCATTAAAGGAGATACAAGGCAGCAATCGTCTTTCTGAAAAGAACGTGAAGTCGCGAAGGTTTTTTTTTTCAATGTTTGCATATGATCAATCCTTTTTCTCTTACTAATGGCAACTTTCAACAATTGTTATCAATTTTTACGTTAACCTTATGCGCTGTTGGTATTTTCTACGTTTCTTCCGAATCCTCAAGATGGCTCACTCTAGTTCTCAAAGAGGTTTTGAAACGGCTACCACTGAATATACCAGCCTTGGTTAATGCTTCTCCACTCAAGAGCAGTGACGGTGTGTTATACGCAGGTCAGTACTTTTACGCAGAGTGTCGCATCTTTTCGTTGTTTTATTCACCAAAGTATGTTGAGTGACTGTTTCGTTCTCTAGTTCCTTCAAGATCTTATGCCAGCGGATTCTCTTTCCAGGTAGCAAAAAAGATGTTTGGCTTGAGATCGATGCCCTGACTGGTGCTAAGGTCAAACCCGTCTTTATCACCATTTTTGGTTCTGCTGACATCATTTTAGGTAGAGACGATGTCAGCCACGAATGACAAAGTTTGTCCAGCTAATAATAAAAGTGCCGTGTTCGTTGGCCGAGCTGAATATCGTGTGAGTTTTTTAGTTTACCTTGATTTGGTTTGAGTCAACATTTGTCTTCTATTTTTGTATTAGTTCTTACCCTCTCACAATAACGCAAAACAAGATGCTGTGCTTAATAGTCTGTGTTTCAACTTCTACTCATCCTTCAAGTTTACTACATCCTTAGAGCAGTCCATTAGTCGCGAAATTACAATGTGCTCCATGATTGATTTTGGCGCTTCAGAAAGCGTTTTCAGACATGAGGTCAAAGAATGTGTCAACAAGGTTGAACAATGCGATTATCTTGGTTAGTTTTGCCAATTTTCGCTTTTATTCAAGAAAGTATCATGCTTCTTTCTTGTGCGTTTTTGATGATTAACTGATCTTGTCCTGATTGTAGTACGACAGTGAGAGCGGTATCCTATCAGCGGTTGTTCGGTCGAATATCTCAACGCACATCACATTGTAATTATGGACAAGGTTTTTTTGGATGATTTCTGGACATATTTGCACATTTTTCTGTTTTTTTCTGTTCAGGTTGATGGAAACTTTCCCCATGCTGTGTACTGGTGCACATTATGCGACTACCACATGTCTAGCATACAACATGTGCGAAGTAACTTTGAACAGCATGAGCATTTCGCGGATGAACAAGTAGGTTTTTGTGAAGTTTTGTGTTTTTTGAAGTTTTTGTGAAGTTTTTTTGTGTTTTTGTCAACTGCATTTCTGAAGGCTATATAATGCATCGTGCTCGTTGCTAAGCACCTTTCGCAAGTGCTGGACTAGTTCAGGAATTTGCAGCAGACACTTTGTTAGTGAATTTTGCTGTGGGGCTCTGCAGGATCGCGAGAGTCGGTGCGGTTGCGGCCATTGCTCGCGCATTGAGCTTTCTCGCTATTCTTTTTCCTTTCAAATGCCTTTCTGCTATCAGATGTTGGCTTTCATTTATTTGAAACGGTTTTGAAAAGAACGGGGTTGTTCTGTTTTAGGCCTTCTGGCATCCTGTGTGCGCAATGGCCGCAACCGCGCCGACTTTCGCGATCCTGCAGAGCCCTATACGCACCCACTGGCTTTAGATGCTTAAGAATACATCTGCATATCTGAGCAGTAATCCATGCAAATTTCACGGTCTAAGGTCTTGAATCCGTTTTCTTGATGTCCCGTTTCTTCAATTTAGAAAAATTTTCTTGTCGTTTTGACTGTATCGATACTGTTTTAGGCATAATTTACAAAGCGCCTGTGACTTATCGACAAGAACGTGACCGAAATCCACGGCTCACAGTTTATGAGCACGTTTACGCTTTCGTTAGTCAAAGTACGTGTACTACTTCATGACTCTGATCAGTGGGATCACCAAAACTGCATCGGATCCCACATGTTCTACGGGTACGACCTCCAATGTGTCCCTAATTTTAGATAGGTCAAGTAATTGTTCTGCATGTAATTTGTAACTTTGTATCAATTTCCAAATTGCTGATAGTATATTTTAGTCATAGAATGCGTATCCTGTACTTATCTCACCTCATCTTATTGCCTCCAAGAATCTTAGTCTAGCATCAACCAAAGCTTTCACATGTCCGGGTCGAATTGTACATTGTTCTTATTCATTCTGTGCAAAAATGTAAGTATGCGATACTCAGTTGTTTGTCGCAATAAAAGGTGATACTTTGTATTCTGCGTCCTCCACATTAACGAAGTGGTACTCGATAAACTTAGTTTTTCCATGGAAGTAAACTAAATGATTGTAATTTTTGTTAGCTTGTCTTTGAAAATTGGTATAAGTTTTTCTATCCTTTTTAATCGAGACTTGAGGAGCCAATAAGTTGGGAGTTCGGGGGGGGGGGGGGGGGGGAGGGTGTAGGGATGGGGGGGGGGGTCGTGCCGAGGTCTGGCCCAAGGGGGGGGGGTCGTATCCGACGGTCGTGTGCCGCACCCCCCGCTTTACCCTGGTGATGCCTTATTGATCAGTAAATTGCTCTGCCCTATTTTGTTTTGGATGAATGATGAATCTGGTCACTGAGGGCTACGAATTGATTTGCTTGGATATCCATACAAACAACATGACAACCCTTGTGATATTGGTATACAGAGCGCCATCCTGCCCCTACTACTATCAGATCAATTAATCAAAATGATATCGGACTTTATAGCTTCCAACCTTCACTCAATTGTGTTGCGGAATTTTAATTACCCTGAGATTGACTGGAGCGAAATGAAAATGAGTAAGTGTAATTGCGCAGCCAAAACTTTCTTAACTATGTGCCTAAATCTAGACCTCTGCCAGGAAGTTAAGTTCTGCACACTTAGAAGAAATGTTTCAAATTTTATCTTAACCAATGGTGATTCTTTGATCACTGCTGTAAGAGCAAATCCACCTGTTGGGTCAAGTGATCATGTAATGATCAGTTTTTGCATGCGTAGCGCGACACCACACTCAAATGGCCTCATTCTGGAAAGATATTTCAAAAAAGGTGTTATTAAGGGTGCTGTCCAATACTCGGAGAACGTTGATTGGCTTGGTTCGTTCAGTACGGTAGTACGTGAGTGTGAACGAAATGCACGAAATGTTGATCTTTGTTATCCAACATGCAATCGATCTCTTTATCCCAATGAAGACGGTACCATCAAGTAGAACATCATATACATGTCACACATAGAAAAGTTGTCCAAAGTCCGAGAGGCGGCTTGGTTTAGATTTAGGTCAACAGATAGGGAAAAAGATTTGATGAAATTTAGAAATAGCTCAAAGTTTGAAAAGAAATTTAAGAAACTTGATACATATCTAGAAAAGAAGATGATCAAAACCGGTAATAGGACCGCATTCTACCGCCTACTCAATGCAAGACTCAAAGGCAAAAAAGTGGTGGGAGCTATCATATCCAATTCTGGGAACATCCTGACCTCGAAGCTTGAAAAAGCTGAGAATTTTGCCAAGATCTTGAAGAGGTTTTCATTAGAGAAAACCACTCATCAGATCAAGCCCCTATTCAACTCACTTTTGAAGAGATGAAAGAGTTTCACTACTTTGATGATTTCGAAATCTATAAACTGCTTCGAAAATGGCCTCGATCAAAATCTCTAACATTTTATACCTTTGCATTTTATCAAAAAAAAAATAGCCCACATCATCTCAAAGCCATTGCTATATTCAATTTAAGACTACTGAGGTTAGAACTTCCTGAAAGATGGAGAATCTCTTTTATGACTCTTATACCAAAGAGAAAACCTTATAAACCATGCATTCATAATTACTGTCCCGTAATGTAACATCCATATTTGTGCGCCTATTTGAAAAGTTGATCAATATTCGGATAACGAAACATTTACAAGAACATAACGTAATACTGCAAGCGCAACATGGATTCCAAACGGGTGAATCAACCGTAACCTCCATGCTATACACGCTTGATGACTAGACCATGTCCCTAGATTCTGGCATAAGTACCGATGTTTTGTATTTGAATTTCACCAAAGCATTCGATAAAGTACCACATTCGAAACTCATTTTTAAATTGAGATCAATAGGAATACACTAGTGCATAATTGCTTGGATTTCTGCCTTTTAATATACTCGTAAATACACTGTTCATATCAATCGTAATTTTTCAAAGCTCAGAATGATGGCTAGTGGGGTACCGCAGGGTGGCTTCCTGTCACCAATTCTTTTCAACATCTATACTTATGATCTTCCTCAATTAATTTTTAGATTGGGAGTGTCGGTTTACGGATTCGCTGATGATTTCAAAATTTATAGCAAAGTAGAAACAACCGAAGACAGAGTTAAGATTTAGCGAGCGTTAGATGCTGTAGTTGCATGGTCGGTTGATTGGAATTTACCCATATCTCGGGAAAAAACTAAAGTACTCCACATCGGTACTACCGATGCGGATTATCGATATCAAATTGAAGGAGAGGACCTTGATTTTGTCACTGAAGTAAGAGTGAAATTTTCAAGTCAATAGAAACGAAACCTTAGTTTCGATCAGCATTGTGAAGCAGTTGCTGCCAGAGGTGAATGCGGCTGTTTATAACTTATTCAGAGCATTGTCAACTAGTGACACATGCCTTCTCATTAGGGCTTATAAAACTTATATTAGACCGTTACTGAAACATGATACTGTAGTCTTCAACCCTACAAAAACCAGTTCAATTCGAGTACTTGAGAAGGTACAAAAAAATTTCACAAGGAAATTGCTTATACGGACTAAAGACTAAGGACTACGGACTTTCGTTATGAGCAATTACCCAAGGGCACGCTTAGAAACAAGGAACTCGGATTATACAGTTTAGCCATGAGAAGTAGAATGTTTGATCTTATCACAGCCCACAGATTACATTCAAAGATTATCATCTCGACCCGCTCTCTTTATTGAAACTAGGAGTTCTAAAACTAGAGAGGTTCAAGAAAGATAGTCATATCTAGAGCAAGGAGAACTGTGAGGAAGGTAGTGCTCTGGATAGACTGATGAGAAGAGGAATGCTTCCTGTGAGCCTTTGGCAGTCTAAGATGCTTTTGAGGACTATTTGCTTTCACAATAAAAATCTGTCATTCGTTGTTTTTTTGTATTGTGTTTACTGACAAGTGTTTTTTTAAATGTTTTGTAATATTTGTCAGTTGATGATTAATGCATAGGACAACCTATGCAATGAATGAAATAAAATGAATTTTCAGAAGAAAGACAACCAGTGATGGCAAGGAATTGAAAATTATAAACTTTGACTAGGAAAAATGATGAGAGAACATCATATCCCCCAGGTCGAAATTTTATAATTTCTCTACTGAGTGAAACACCATTCACCCAGGGGCTGCGACTACTGTGAACCGCTTCACCCTGGAGGAGTCATTCTCACCTTATCGCACCTATGTTTTGCTGTTTAAGGAGCTGTTACGCACGCTGCAAAAGCGACGTTAAAGGTGGCATTCGAATCTGTATGGTTTAGCGCAAAGATACTATCACTAAACAGGCCTCGAGCAGAGTTCATGCGATTTCATTGCCGCGAATAAATCTCACCGCTATTTTCATTCATTTTCATTTTACATTCGAAAATTCCGCGCTGGAAAAGTAACACAACCGAAACGCAAGCTGATCGGCATGCAATGAACTCGTAACAGTCTTGTCGCGGTTAAATCGCGGCAATAAACTCGCGAACTCTGTCCGAGGCCTTAGACACACCCTTGAATTTGAAGTTTTTGTCATGATATACTCATTGCTTTAACACATGTCAAAATGTCAAACAAGTTATGTCAATGCTTCACTTGTTGAAAAATTCGACCGATACTTTCTATATTTTCTCTATGTTTTTGGTTTGATGATTGATTTTTGATCGCTTTTGAAAGCTGAGTGCACGGCAAGCCCTTTCTTTGTACGGCTCAGCTGCGCCAAGAATCAAGTAAAATGAAAGGGGGCAGCCGCAGCTGGCGACCTCCTCCTCGTTCTTGACTTAAGCGTCATTTGGTTATCATCGCTTTATCTCATTTGGTAGTGCCTTATATTCACTTCCAACCTTAGTGCCTTTAGTTGCTTTCAGTTCAGGTGACCAAAACATATCAAGTATTTTATCCCTAACGTTGATTAGAATCTCATGTTAAGCTGGTATTATATTTCGCTTGCAATATCGTTTTTTGAATTTTATATTTGTTAATAAAGGTTCAATTATCCAAGTTTGAGGTAACATCTCCTCGTGCATAACTCCGTCATTCTAAAGACCGGCGTGGCAGCTGATATTTTGGTGACATTGTCAATTGGTATTTGACGGTTATAGTAATGACTATATATCCGTCCCTACCCAATACATCACTCATTTTCATTTCTGTCGAAATAATGGTTTATTGCACGGGTTTGTCTTTTGCGCAGCTGTAAGCATCAAACGATAATGAGAGCGGATGGCATACTCAATGACAAGAATGGACTATTAGGATTTGAGCACAGAATAAACCCTCCGGGCAAAGTTCACCCTTCTTCTATGATTTGGCACCTTACCTATGCCTACCTTATCTTTGGCAGATGGCACCGCCGCATAAGAGTTTTTTTAACAAGTGGTTGGTGCGCCAAAACCTCACTGGGTCGAATTTCAGTCATGTTTGTGACCTCACCCACCTTACCATTTATCTACCGTAATCTTCTCAAATGACGCTAATGTATAGCAGGTAGACTGTTCGTGATCTGCGCCCCGAATAATCCTACCGATGTAAGTTCCGAGCTTTGTGGTTTTTCCTGTCTACCGTAGGCCGCGGCTATATGACCCCATGGTGAAAAATGAGTCCCATATTCGTTATTAGCGCGCCATAACCCCTGAGCCAAGATTTTACATAATCTCAAAATTTTGTAAATTACTGCGCATCACGAACTCCCATCATGTCTACTACGAGCAAAATCTACTCCGGAGGACTTTCTAGCTGCAGCCGTTCTTTTGTGCTCTATTTCTCTTTCTCTGACAAAACTCACAAGGGAAAGATACTAACTTAGATTTGCCTTCTGAGATGAGACACATACATTTGAATCAACTTGGAACGCTGATTCCAAATGTGCTGTTCCTAGCTGCTTAGCATTATTCCGAAGCGAGTTATGGGCTTGCTCTTGTGAATAACTAACGAACTTCTGAATGTCGTAAGACGGCGTGTATATAAGAATCTGCTCGAAAAAAAGTGCTAGGATGTTTA